CAAATGCAAAGGCTCTGAGGCAAGCGTGCCTGGAAGGTTCCAGAACACCAAGGAGCCCTGTAGGAACCTGGCTTTTACCGAGATGGGAGCTACGGCAGGGTTATGAGCAGAGGGCCCCACAGGCGCAGCGTGTGGTGGTTGGGGAGCGGGGGCGATCTGTCACTTTGGCTGCTGAGCACCTGATGTCCCCTGACATCAGCACATCCCACCCACCCTGTGCTGTGGGGGCCAATAAACTTTCCTTGTCCCTGGTGGCCAGAGCTTGGGCCTATGACCTAATCATGCCTGTGACAGATGGGGGTTGGGGGAAAGGGAGGCGTGAAGGGGAAGAGAAGACAGCTTGAAAGGAACCAAGAGAAAGAGAAACACCCAGGTGCTGTCACCTCCTAGTCTCAACTCTGTCCAACGGGGCAGCTGCCTGAGTCCGCTGCGGCCAGCGGGGGTGGGAGGCTTCTCCTTTGCAGCCAACCCCCAGTCCGGCGGGCCCTCCTCAGGTAGTGAGGTATCTTAGGGGCCTCTCATTCACGCCCATGACTCCAGGGGCCCCACCTTTGTTCCTGCTCAAACCCCAAGACCTTCCAGTGGCCTCTGACATGACCACAGGTCACGGTGTCTACACCTGACCTCAATGCCTTCCCCCTCCACCACCCCTGTGTGCCTCCCGTGTCCCCAGCTCGGGGACCCTGACCGAATCTCTAACCAGAATCTCAGCATCTGCAGCCCTGCGTCTTAATTACTTGTTTTCATGGGCATCTATTGGCCAAACTCCTTTTCAGAATTTAGACATTGGTGAGTTTTCTGTTGTTCAACTAACTGCCTTGAACCTCTGCAGACCTCATATACATCTGTCCCTACTGATTCCTTAAAATTTACAGACTTACTGGGGCGCCTGGGTGGCTCAGACAGTTAAGTGTCTGATTTTGGCTCAGGTAGTGATCTCACAGTCCGTGAGTTTGAACCCCACATTGGGTTTTTGCTAACAGCTCAGAGCCCGGAGCCTGCTTTGGATTCTTTGTCTCTGTCTCTCTGTCCCTCCCCTGCTCGTGCGCTCTGTCTCTCTCTCTCTCAAAAATAAATGATTAAAAAACAAACAAACACTTATGGACTTCCTGAGATCTTCCCCCAACAACACATCTCTCCTCTGTCCTTCCTGCTGTCACAACCCCACCTCTGTCATGCTGATGTTTACAGCTTTAGTTCCTGCTGTGGATGTATCTCCTGATGTTGCTCACTGGATCACTGGATCTTCCCATATTCCTTGCAGCCTCTCCTGAATTGGTTTCTTTTTTCATTTAAAAAACTCCTCTCATAGCCACTCGGAGAAACGGAACACCCCACATCCAAGAATAAACTCCAAAGAGACCCGAGATCCAGATGTAATATATGAAGTTGTACAAATATTAGAAGAAAGCCATGGGGATTTCTGTGAGACCCGGGTGTAGAGAAAGTTCTAACCCTGACTCACAATGCAGAGACAGTAAAAGGAAAACCAATACATTTGATTTCCTCAAAACAAACTTTTGCACGGCAAACGCACCCCAAAGTCTAAAGGGAAAAGATTGGGATATAAACTGAAATATGGTTAAGACTTAGAAGTTTTATGTTCTGGGTAAAATTTTAGCACAATAAAGAGAGAGAGAGAGAGAGAGAGAGACCAGGAGGAAATTATTTGCCAACATATTTGACAAACACATCGTCTTTCGGCACGTCCCTTCCATGCTGTTCTAGCTAGAGATCCACAACCAGAATCTCATGAAGAAACACCAGACAAACCCCAGTAAACATTCTTTACAGGGCAGGATGGGGGAAGGATCGTATTCGTCGTGTCGATGTCATCGAAGACCAAGAGACTGAGGGAATATTCCAGATTGAAGAAGACCAAAAAGAGGACAGCTAAGTACAACATGGGGCATGACTGGGTCAGCCAACACACACGGATATGTACACAGCGGGTGGCCGTTAAGTACACACATCCCATCGCTGTGAAACTGAAGTTCCACAGTAAGTGAAGTGGGGTGAGTGGTGGCTACGTGTAGTGTGGGTCTGTGAGGATAACCTTATTCTTGTAAGTTTATTTTTATTTGAGAGAGACAGAAAGAGCAAGTTGGGGAGGGGCCGAGAGAGTGGGAGAGAGAGAATCCCAAGCAGGCTCTGGGCCATCAGCACAGAATCCAGGGTGGGGCTGGAGTTCATGAACGTGAGATCGTGAGATCGTGACCTGAGCGGAAGTCAAGAGTTGGAGCCTGACCAAGTGAGCCACCCAGGCACCGCTCCCCACCCCCCACCCCTGGCCCTATTGAGACAACCCTTATTCGTAGGAGAATCACACGGAACCACACCAGGGTAAAGGCCCATGACGTATGTGCGCTATGCAACTTTCTCCCAAGTAGCTCAGGGACAAAACGGTGCGCGTGCACACAACACACACACATAGTGTCAAGCCCACGGCACCCAATGGTTTGTGCGTAGGTGAATCTAGGTCAAGGGTATACAGGCGTGTTTGCACTTCTCTTGCAACTCTTTGTTAAGCTTAAATTCGTTTCCAAATAAAAGGTTAAAAAAAAGGAAAAAAAGGAAAGAAACCAAGCAGGATTTCATGAGGAATGCCAGTAATACACAATCTAGAATCGAGCCACCCTTAACATATAAAGCCAGGAAGCAGACACATGAAAGAGCTAGCTATGGGCGTCTTTCCACAGGAAAAACTGCATCTCTGGGCTTAAAGTTAATTCTGGCATCTTGAGCTCAACCAAGAAAACCTACTTTGAATAATCAGGCATTTGCATAAACAAATGCATTTATTTCTATTTCCCTGCCCCCTTGCATCTGGGTCGGCCTTAGGGGCTTGACGGCAGGCAGAATGCGGCGGCAGCGACGCAGGGCAGCTTCCGAGACCAGCTCACGAAGACGTGTGGGCTTCCACCTGGACCCGTGGGGTGCGCGCGGCCCCGTGGGACCCGGCCACCATGCCACGAGAAGCCCAAGCCACGTGGAGACCGTGTGTGGGTGGTCCAGTGACAGGCCCCAGCCGGCAGCCTACACTGGCGGCCAGGCCTTGGAATAAGCCACCTCGGACGTGCAGCTAGGCTGGTCTTCGGGTGACGGTAGCCCCAGATGTCACCTGACCGCAAATGCCTAAGACTTCAAGTGGAGAACCGCACAGCCCAGCCCCGTCAACCCACAGAACCGAGGCAAACACATGGGCGTCTAAGGCCAGTAAGTTGTTTGTTGCACAGCTGTGCAATAAAGGACTCACCTTGCCCGAAGAAAGGTTTGGCCCTTGCCCAGCTCCCGGGAGGGGATCTTGAAGCCCTGGGAATGTCCTCCCTGATGAGGGTCTTTGTTTACCCAGGGCTTTGGGCCACTCGAGGTGGCCTATGCTTACGTGTGATTTGTGTTTGGGGACCCTGGGACACGGGACATCAGCTTGTGTCTCCCGAGACTAGGGTCAGTCATGGGGGCGAGGCAGTGAACACGACCAACCCCAATAAAGCCCCTAGACACCAAGGCTTGAGCGAACTTCTGTGCTGGGTGACTCTACCACGTGGAGGACACCTGTGGGCTCCGGGCCGGTCCCTCCTGATCTCCCTCCGTGCGCCTCTTGTCTTTGCAGATTTTAATCTGGGCTGTAATAAACTGGAACCACGATAACTTTTCTGAGTCCCGTGAGTTCTTCTAGCACAGTATTGAACGTGAGGGGTGGCCTGGGGACTCCTGACTGCAGCTCTCAGTGACTCAAAGCCCCAGCGCGCCTGCAGAGGGCAGCTTCTCAGCAGGCGGGATCCCCCTCGCAGGCCTGCAGGCCTCCCACAACACAGCCCATGGGACACCCCTGGGGTCGGCAAACGGGGATTCACGCCTACCTTCCTCGAGATATTCTAACCCCCAGTGCTCGGCCCCCAGGAAGGGCATTCATATGCCACGATGCTGACTTCCTTCAGAGAGAGGACCCTACCGCGGGGCCTTCCCAGATGTCACTGTGGAATTAGCAATGCCATCTGCTCATCTCTGCCCTGGGGGAGGCAACCCAGGGGGTCAAAGTGCTCACAGGACTCAACCCTCCTACTGTTGTCACCTGCCCGTAGACAATACCCCAGGTCTACATCTCCCTGGAAAAAGGTGGGTCCAGAGGAGTTCAAACCTGAAAACAGGCCTCTCTCCATAGGCCCAGGGCCAGGCAGAGCAGCTGGGGTAAGATTCGATATTAATCTTTGATGGAGAAGGAAAGCAGAGCGGTAGACGGTACCTCTGGTCTTCCTTGGTGGGGGAGTCGGCTCCATCGGGTGCTGCAGGAACCAGGGTGGGGTCTGCCCTGGCGGGCTGTGCGCGACAGAAGGCAGGCTGCAGACCCAGCATACACTCACTGACAGGATCGTCGGTGGGGGGGGAAGGTGGGGGAGGCGGGAAGAACGAGTCTCCTCCAGCTTCTGCTCCCGCCGGGCCTCGCCGGCCCAGCCGGCGCTGTTCCCCGGAGCGCACCCTGTGCCGCTGCCCGGGGCTCTCCCTCCCAGGCGGCAAGGGTGGCAAGTCGCTCCCTCAAGAGCCCACCGTGAGGGCAGACACTAGGGCAGCTGGGCTGGTCGAGCCCCCAGCCCCAGGGCACCCCAAGGAGGTGGGAGATGAGGGGGGTGGAGCTTCGAACCCCCCCCCC